GGTGGTCCTCTGTCTGCACAGGAAGGCCTCTTAAAGGGGGGGGGGGGTTACAGTGCACTTGCTTACTGGGCCTTGATGATAGTTGAAGCCCTTAGCTTGGTTGAAGTTATCATTATCCAGGCTGTTGTCGTAGATTCCACAGTACACCATGTCACTGCAGGACAAGGTACAAAAACTTGGAGAACATCTGTCTTAGATCAATTGCCAACAATCACATATTGTTTTGAAAGTTGCACACAGCATGTTCTTTGTGATGTTTCTGTGCGCCAACCTCCAGGTGCCAGATCGTAAGCACGTATGGTGGACACGGCGCCAGAAAAAATGCAAATATAGTGAGGCGAAAACCCTAACTTTTATTTTTTATTATTTATTAGTATTTTACAATTTATTATATCTTCAGGGAATTCCACTCCAAATAGGAGATTTACTGTGAATGGAAAATTGTATTCTGCCCAACTTAATGTAAACTTGATTAACTATAAGCTCCAGGCAGTGGCTAGATGTGAGCGAATCCAACTAGGGTAAAATAGGTTGTATTACTTGTTACTGATTGTAACTGATGCAAAGTGTATATAGCTGATGCATATGAAGTAACTAAATGTATGTTTGCATCTGATGATATATGATTATTTTGGGTAAACGCACAATTAACAAACCATCAGTTATTATTTATTTACCATAACTTTAACCATGACCAAAGTGATGCATTTTATACATTTATTTATTTACATATTTGGCTCATTGAAGACTGTGCTTCCTGACTTTGTTATAGTACCCAACCCTCCAAAGCCAAGCAGCCCTCAATACTTAAGCAGGAAACTAACTCAGGGTCCAAGGTCTTCATTCCCAATGGCCCCAGAAGCTTCTTCTCAGCTACACCCAGAACCTCCCACGCTTTCTCTACTGTGAACAGCTCAGGAGCCTGCAACACATACACACACAGGCACACGCACATACACACACACACACACACACACACACACACACACACACACACATTAGTCTGGCTAATACATTTGCATTTGCATTTAACACTTTGTACATTTGGAGTCATATGTGTAACATGTTATAATAATAAGTCTCATGGTATTTATGCATCATTCAGTGTTTTTCGTGCCAATGATTCCTGAGTGCACATTGTTTAGAACTCAGAACTCTTGCTCTGATTGATTGCTTTAGATTATTGATATACAGAAAAAGTATAAATTGAGATTGTGACACTTGTTGAACAAAAACACAAAGTCATCTTGCAATTGTGGGAACATTTTGCAAAGTGGTGCTTCTTTCAATACTTTGGCTGAGAATACTTTGACCTACAGTACATGAAACAAAGTTTCATTTGAGCCTTTTTGTAGTAAGAGAACATTAATTAGTGACAGCTGCAATTTAAACTGGCAAAAAGGACAATCACTAACTAAAAATGTTTTCAACATTGCTCTATAAAAGAGCAGAGATATAAATATTTGCTAACAGATTCATTAGTCTCTGAGCTTAGGGAATCTGGGTATTTTATCAACCTAGAACACAATCCAAAATGGAACTGGCCAAAATGTACACTGAAGTACAGCGGCTGTTGCTACTTACCACCATCATGGCAATGAGAAAGTTAGTCCGGAGCTGGTAGTCACACCAGGGGCTGGAAGCCCCAAAACTGTCCTTGTAGATGCCTCTTTTGTGGACAAACTTGGGTTGCTTTTCTTCCGGGTTTTGGGGATCATGGGAAATGTAGAACTTCTTCTCAAAGTTCTCCTGGATCTTAAGATCCCACTCCATATATGACACAGAATATGTCTGTCCTGAAATCAAAAATTTAGGATGAAAAGGAAAATGGTTCAAAGATGGATAAAGAGACTATAAAATCCATTCATCTGTAAAGTTAAATTACCACCAACATTGCTTTCTACAATGTGATTTTGTGTCATTACCAATAGTTCCAACAAGAGGGGAACATCCAAAGCTGATTTCAGCCACTGAAAGCCTATTAAGAAGTGCTATTGTAAATACTAGAAAAACAATTGGTTGAAGCAGCTGTTGGGATCTGACTATATGGCTTCGACATGTGCTGTGGAACAAAGAGAGAGTCAGGCCTTCCCTTTTGCAAGCAAAGGTTTCATCCTGATTGTAGTTTGATGAGCATCAAACCCCCCAACTCTGAAGAAATTCACATTAGGGTGTGAGTTTCCTCCCCCCAAAAACTGTGTTCCTGAAGTTACCTGAAAGCAGCGATGCAATCTAATTGGCCGAGAGCCAAGACACCCCAGGACCCCTGTGTTTGAGCCACCCTTTCTACAAAACAACCAGCAACCCCCACCTCAATGCTTTTTCCCTTCGACCTCCGTCGAGCTAGGGAGCACACCAACGTTGTTTCCCTTTTCAACCAAAACCTAGGTTTAACAGTTTATATTCGCTGGCCGAATTCACCAAACTGTCTATTTTATCGTTGTTCGTATACACAAAGCGAACCCTTTTATTCCTGCAGAAGTGAAGAAGCAAGACTCCTTCAGAAAGAGAGAGAGAGAACTTCCACTCTCCACCAATTGCCTCGTCTGCTGTTAAGGACGCGAAAATCCCTTATCCAGACGACAGCGATTCTCTCCCACCGAGAGAACACCTTCCGTGGCCCGCAGCCGCGCTGCCTGGGCCCATCGAAGCTCAGAAGAACCCCTCAGAAGACCCCCTCAGAAGAACCTCAATCACCACGATTGCATCGTACCGTAAGGCGAAATACATTCTGGGCAGAGTTAGAGAGAGTTTAATTTGTGTTTATTTTATCTTGTTTGTGTGCTTAAAGTACTGTTCATTTTTATAACGTGGTGTATGCTTTATGATCAGTTACCGTGTATTCTATGCTACCGTGATTCGTGTCGAAACAGCCGCAGTGAGGTCGAAGTTGCTTCTCATCAGTTCAGGAGGTCAAAACCGCCGGCTGAGACAAAGAGTCGTGGTTCTTGCTCCCCTTGCTGAGAGAGCAATCTTCCGTACTCCCGCGCGGCACGGAGGATCTTAATCTTTTGTTTTATGTCATTTTGTTTTGTTCCTTTCCCTTTTCTTTTACTATTCCACACACACACACACACACATATAGCTTTGAGCTAATGTAGCTACATGCTAACGGCTACCGGCATGTATAGACGCCGGGTCTTCTGTTGGCTATCCGCCATTTTGAGTCTCGCGCATGAGAGACGTCACCACGTCCCAACTATGTCATACGTCCCTGAGCTGTTCCCTCGCTCCTCCCCCTACGCGCGCACACACACACACACACACACACACACACACACACACACACACCCCACCCTCTTTTCCATAGTCTGTTGATTTTAGATAGCGTGCTCATAAATGTATAGTTGTTGTTAGTTTAGATATTAGTTGACTAGATCATTAGTATTAGAACGTAATAAACTCTGTTATATTTTAAAGAGCAGCTGTCTGTGATTACTTTGTGCATGTGTATTGTGATAATAGCTGTATATGTGGTCTGTGCTCGAACTTAAACCTTCACTTTCACTCTGAATGTGTAATAGTACTCAGATTATTGACATTGTGAGTGAACACTAATTATGAGACTTAGTTTTATCGTTTGGTTATTGGTCCCTGTTCGCAGGGTGGTGCCCCGTTATTATTAATAATCATTAATAATTGTTACTGACATTAATAATTATATTGATGTCAAGAATTTAGTTTCTTAGATGCTGATAACCCAAACAC